CGTTGCACGAGGGCTGGGATGTTGCACGAGGGCTGGGATGTTGCACGAGGGCTGGGACATTGCACGAGGGCTAACTCGTTGCACGAGGGCTGGGATGTTGCACAAGGGCTGGGATGTTGCACGAGGGCTAACTCTTTGCACGAGGGCTAACTCGTTGCACGAGGGCTGCCCTGTCACAGCGGGGCCGCTGCACTGCTGCTACCCACAGTGCTGCGCAGCCCCACGGGGGACCCTCTGCTCAACGGCGGGGGGGTCGCGGGGCCGCCCGGGCACTACGAGGCCGCCGGGACCATCTTTGAGTACCGGCGGGCAGGACCAGGCGCCCCCGAGACGCTCAGCGCCCCCGGCCCCACCACAGAGCCACTCGACGTCTACGTGAGCATGGGGATAAGGGGATATGGCGGGGTAGGGAGCCGGGGGGCTGTACATCGCTCTCCTCAGGTGCTCTTCCAGCAGGACAACCCTGGTTTCACCTGGCAGTTCTTCCTGGCCACTGACGGCCCAGACGCAGCCCCCACACAGCCGGGTGAGAGTCTTGTGCTGGGAGTCACCTTCCTGGTCACCAAGTGTCCCCTGGTCACCAAGTATCCCCCATCTTGTCCCCGTGTTGTCCATAATCCTCCCCCGGGTGCTATGTCCCCCCAGGAATCACGTGTTCCCAACCGTGTCCCCAGCAGCTGGCCCTGCCTCTGCAGGTCCTGTCTCCACGGTGGCCCCAGACGCGGGGCCGGTGGCCCCGGTGACTCCCAGCGCCTCAGAGGCCGCCCCACCGCCCGTCGCTGGGGCCTCAGGACGGGAGGTCCCACTGCAGCACCACAACCGGGGCCACCGTGACAGTGACAGCGGCGGTGACCACGGACAGGGCTACGGCTATGACAGGGACCTCAACCACAACCGTGGCCACAACCACAGCCATGATCATGACCACGACCACAGGCACCAGCACGGCCACAAACCTGGCCACCAGCCCACCAGGGACTCTGATGTCTATTGGGAACGGGCTGGCACCACCCACTGCTCGGCCACCTGTGGCGAAGGTGCTGCCCCCCTCCGTGCCCTACCAGTGTCCCCAGCGTTCCCCAGTGCTCTTCCAGCATTCCCAGTGCTCCTGGTGCTCCCAGTTCCTCGCTTGTCATGATCCCTGCGCTCCCATCCCCACCTCCCGATGCTCCCCCTGATCCCAGTGCTCCCAGTTCCGGCTTCCCAGTGCTCTCAGTGCTCCCAGCGCCCCCTCACCCGCGCACCTCCCGGTGGTCCCGGTGCCTCCGGCGCTCCCGGAGCTCCCCGTTCTCCCAGTACCAGCTCTGCGCGGTGCCCAGCGCCCCGTGCTGGATGACCCTGGGGACGGCTGGGGCCAGCAGGGGCTCCCCTGTCCCTGTCCCCGTCCCTGTCCCTGTCCCTGTCCCTGTCCCTGTCCTCGTCCCCATGCCCACCGCCGTGTCTCTCCCTGTGCCCGTGCCGTGCGGCCGGTGACAGGCGCTGTCCCCAGGCTGGCGGCAGCCGCTGTTCCGCTGCACGTCGCGGCGCTCACGCGAGGAGGTGGCCCGGGAGCGCTGCGCGGGGACACCGCGTCCCCCGGCTCCCGCCGAGCCCTGCAGCACCCCGCCCTGCCCGGCACAGTGAGTGGCACCCCAACACGGTCACTGTCACCACTGCCACCCCCACCGCTGCCATCGTCACCACCATTCTCCTGGGCACATCTGCTTTCCCATCCATGTGCCCCGCACATCAGTGTCCCCAGCCCACGGCTGTCCTGAGCACATTGGTGTCTTCACCACATTGGCATCCTGGGCACATCTGTTCCCCCAGCACATCCATGTCCCCAGCACACGGGTGTCCCCCACACACGGGTGTACCCTGCACACACGTGTCCCTCCCAGCACATCCA